CCTTCTGAAAAACAAATTGTGTTGTACTGAAATTAGCAGCATAGCATCTTCAATAATGACAGAAGCATGACAATGTGCAAATTAATGTTAAAAAGGATTATCACCCTTTCACACATATTTTTGCATTATTTTGCAACAGTATTTCTTTATACAATATGAAATCTACATTGTGTTAAATGGCAGCATGATTTATTGTTGTTCAACAGATGCAGGATACTCTGTTAAGAATCACAGGCCTTCTATATCTCAACAAAACACTTGCTAAACTGTTTTACAAAGTGTAATACATATATAAATAGCCATAAAAGATACAGATAGCCATGTTCAAAGTAACAGAGTGGAAAGAGCTGAGTTTCTGGGCAAGCTTTTCAACTCAGATGTCGATGGCTCACCTATACACTTCTCTCCAAAAATTTTCCTTTGTAGGCATATTTTTTCATCTTCTTACAGCGGAAGTACCCTCCTCTGATTTGTTTTATTCAATTAGTTTTAGGTAAGGACCTTATTATCTTTGGTAGTTCATTGGCTTATGGTAGTGCTCAGAGATTTCAGTCATTATGATACAATGTGTTAGAAATGTGTGCTATGTACCACGGGCTATAAAAATCATACTTGCCAAAAGGCTCAGGACATAAAAGCAAACAAATGGAATGAGGGTCTTGTGGCCACTTATGCCAGTGGAATTAAATTTACTGTGATTACTTGGAAAGTGAAGTCCTTACTTCAACTTGAAATAAAATATTTTTACTTTATTTCTGCCACCATGCAATATCAGCCAACAGTAATAAGTTGTATTCTTTATGCATTTCTTCATTTCTTCTTTCTTCCCATAAGAAATAGGGTGCTTACTATTATGATAATATTAATTCTTGATAATGACAACAGCACCAAAGGCATGTCTTTTAGCACGCAGAGATGAATGAGGATACTGAAGGGCAGCAGGCTGTTTGAGCACTTGCCAAATCATACCAAAATCAAGGCTCTTAATTCAAAATGGCAGCAACAGCCCTATGCCTAGAAATCAGTCCCATTGAATGGTGTTCTGATTTTTTCTATCCTCAATTCAGCCATAGACAATCACTTTTCACTAAAAATTGGGAAACAGTAGGTGATTCATAAGTAATATTTCCAAGGTATGCATCTGAACAATACCAGAAATAAATCTTCCAGTATTATATTCATATGCTTCTTGCTCACAGCAAAAGGCTGAAAGAGCTGGGCCTATTCAGCCTGAGGAAGAGAAGGCTGAGAGGGAATCTAGTCAGCATATACAAATATCTCAAGGGAGAAAGCGAAGAGGATGGGACCAGCCTCCTTTCAGTGGTGGCCACCAACAGAACTAGAGGTAATGGACACAGACTGAAATACCAAAAGTTCCACAGGAACTTAAGGAAAAAATTCTTAACAGTGAGGGTGACAGAGCCCTGGAACAGGCTGCCCAGAGAGGTTGTGGAGTCTCCTTCTCTGGAGATCTTCAAAACCCATTTGGATGGATCCTGTGCCATGTGCTCTAGGTGACCCTGCATATGGAGGGGAGTTGGACTAGATGACCTCTAGAGGTCTCTTCCAACCTTAACAATTCTACGATTCTATGAAAGATTAACCAGATACCAGTTAACTGATGCTTCTTGGACCTCTAAATAGGTAGAATGAACAATGTTTTACATAAGTCAGAAAGTGTTTATTATGCTCTAAAAAAAAGTCTCTGTTTCAACAACTAAAATCATTGTAGGAACTGTGGGAGGTATATTTATTACATTTTTAATTGGAATGTGAGAATCAAAGAGGAAAGCTCTTACCCTGCGATCTGAAACTGACAACTCTGAATACACTGAGACTTTACTTGAAAAGGGAAATGTACATCTCTAGACACTTCTTCCCAGAAGTTACTGTTTGTGCGATGCTAACATTGTCTTATGGTTGATTTTAAGAACTGCTAGTCCCTGCTTTACTCTGTGGTGTCTCCTTTTTTCATACAAATTCTCTTCTCGATTCATCCAAATGCTCTTCCAGAGGATAAAGTTGAGAACCTACATACTGTAGGGTCTCTTGTGTCTCTTCTAGTCTGATCATGGCCATGTAGTTCAATAAGGAGTCTGCAAAAGAGCATTAATATAGAAAACCCTGCTTGGAATGTGCCAGATCTTTATACCTTTCTTAGTACTTCATAGGGTACGTCTTTATTATAATTTTGATTTCATCCAGATTGCTGCTGGTCTCTTTGTGCAGACACATCACACCAAAGTGAATCTGTATGTTAGATTTCATATATCTGAGGACAAGTGTTTATGGAATCATAGAGTCATTATGGTTGGAAAAAACCTTTTAAGATCATTGAGTCTAATTATGTCAGTGTCTTCAAAATATTGTTCTCTGACTTTATAGCTAAGACTATGTTGACACCTCCAGACTATATTGACTGAGAAATTCAGGACATCTACAGTCCTAATATTAGTAATTTCTAAATCTTCGTGGTAGTCACCATTATTTTGATCATAACTTATTTGAAATACAAATAGATGAAATGAAGCTTCTTCACAATATAAAATGCTGCCTGAAAACAGAAACTTCTGTGACCACCTCACAAAGTTCTGGCCATACAACACCCTACTGGACTATACACTCCATTCTCATCCATATTTGCATATTTGTATGTCATATGCTATTTATGTTTATAAATTTGGAAGTTTTGGACTTCTTCAAATTAAGGGATAAGAACCCAAACCACAGAATCACAGCTCAGAGCCACTGTAGTTGCTCTGAGAGTTGTGAGGAGTTGTGACTACCTCCTTTTTTTTTTTTTTTTTTTTTTTTTTTGTCTCTCCTTTCCGGCAACAGGAGGATAATGCATAAGATCTTATTTACTTGTCTCTGAGGTTGCTCACAAGGATTTCCTCAGAAAAGGTCCCTAAACTGAAGGGCTTTATGCACATTTTCATAGTGACCAGTTATGAGCCATGCCATTCTTATCTCATTTTACACTGTAACTGGGGATGAGCATAAAGCGCATGACATCTAAAGCATCAGCAAAAACCTTCTAGTCTGGCTTTTTGCATTATATTTGCCCTATGGCCAAACTGAGCACGGATTATGTATGGTGCTAAAACTTTCAATACTGTTCAGTACCCTTATCTGTTTGTAAAAGCATGCAGTGACTAACTTATCAGTTTAGAGAAGGGGCAAGAAGTTTAGGGAACAAGAGGTTTCAGGGAGCTGTGTGCTGAGAAGGCAGACCATGATGTCCTTGGGCAACCAACCTGCTCTGTTTGCGACTCTGTTGGAGCCAGCATCAGTGATAGTCAAGTCCTGGTGGCTGCTTTTGGCCTGGTATCTCAGCGCTACCAGGTCATCATCATCCATGAGTAGTCTTATCATCTTCCAGAAAACCCTAGGGATAAAACCAGAGCCTCTTGACCTATTGTAAGGCAAATTCAAAAGAAAATATACAGAAGCCATTTCTGGGAGCAGCTCATGTTTAATGACTAACAGGCCGACTATGAAGTCATGTAGATTTAAATACAACCGGAAGCAACACTATGTGTGATAACTCTTTTCTCAAGGAGCTGGTGGAACTTTTCAAGGCAGAAATGTCCTTTTCTCTCGCAGTTCATTATTTCAATTTTTGGCATTGCTGAAGGAAAAAAGAAATGGGTAGGTAAAGATTAGGTGTGGTTTTCTTTACCATTTTCTCTTTTGATGATGCATATCAAGATAGAATAGAATTTCTTAAGCATTTTCTGGATGAGGCAGGAATTGATTTTAGTTCTGAAACTTTCTAGATTGTATCTTCATTGTAGTTTCTCTTCCTTTAAAAATGTAGTGCTGTTTTTATAAGTGCATAAAAATAAAGTGCTATTGTCATGTTCCCTTGAGTAACTTAATGACTACATTTTAAGGTAATTGACTACAGTAATTATGCAAAGTACAGGAAGCTTTATGCATGTAACTTTAAAATACATTGTAGACATCAAGCTGCATTTTCCTTTGCAATTTTTTCCTTGGTAAGATGTGACTAGTGTGACTTGCCCAGTACCTTGAAATATTTTGAGTGAAGAACACTGCAGAAAAAGTAAGCATAACAACATCTTCCTATAGTTTCCCCTTTTCACTCTCTCTCTCTATGTTTCTTTTCTTTCTTTTTTTTTTTTTAATGAATTTTTAAAATCTGGAGCTCACATGTATTTTGCAAACATGCCTCCCAATTTTTATTTTATTGTGAAATTTGCATTGTTGTGATGAACACAGTCTGCTCACTTTTTAAAGAAAAAGCTTCTAGATCTAGACTAGAACCTAAACTGAATTGAACTGAATTACTAGGACTAAAATGTAAATTGAATATGATTGAAGTATTGATAGAAAGAAAAGCTATAAAAAAGGTATTAAATTCACCTTTTTGCTCAATAAACTTTGAAGAAATACACTTATATCAATTTAGGTTAAATGCTTCACTGCTGAACATTTCACTTCCTTCTTGCCTGGGTTCTACTAGAAGGACCACTTTGTGAAAATTGTCCCTATTAATAGGTGTGGTCATAACTGGCAGAATTTCAAGGTGATGTTAAAGATTAAAGATTAAAGACATTAAAGATTATAGTTATAAGGCTTTTTGTGTGTCTATGGACACATGATATTGCCTGTGCTGGGTTGTGTGAAACATGTAAAGATATAGTCATAACCACAGAGCCACCAACTGCTTGCTTGATATATAAACAATTGTATAAAAGATGGGAAGATTAATACAGCTGGCTATCCCAACTCCCTAAGGAAAAGAGTAGGCAAATCTTATGCATGTAAAAGGTTAGGATTAATTATTAAATCCTTCTGTGATTTGCATGTTCAGGAACAACAGCAACATCCATTTTCCAGTATCACTTCCAGATGTCATTGTGATCCTAGATATAAAGGGATCAGGCTGAGCTTGTGACTAGGGCTACACACGACATCTGGTCTGCTCAACTTCTTGCACAGCTCCACCAGGCAGAAGTGACCAAAGAAGAAAGATGTTGCCACCCATTCTCATCATTTCAATAACCATTGTAGCAGTTGAAGTCATTGTTGGATTTACAGGAAATGGATTTATTGCAATTATTAATAGCATTAACTGGATCAAAACTAAAAGCATCTCTTCAGCTGATATGATCCTCATCTTCCTGAGCATATCGAGATGTATCTTGCAGGTGACAATAATGATACACATTCATAGTCTCTACTTCACGGAAGTGACTAAGTTGGCTTCTATGTACAAAGCTTTTGGTGCTGTGTGGATGTTTGTGAACCATGCCAGTCTGTGGTTCAGCACCTGGCTCTATGTGCTCTACTGTGTAAAAATTATCAATTTCAACCAACGGCTGTTGCTGCAAATCAAACTCAGGATTTCTGGGATGGTTCCATGGCTGCTTCTAGGATCACTGGTAGTCTCTTCCGTGACTTCTTTCCCATTATTATGGATTACACCCAGCACTTACCTCTGCAGTTCGACTGGGAACTGTAGAGAGAATAGTACAGAACATCTCACTAACTGGGATAGCTCACACTTCTACCTACTTCTTCTTTACTTTACAGGTTGTTTTATTCCTCTAGTAGTATCTGTGGTGACTTCAGCCCTGTTAATTGATTCGCTATGGAAACATACCAAGAAGATGCAATGCTATATGAATAGTTTCAGGGATCCTTTGATAGATGTTCACCTAACTGCCATTAAATCTATTATTTCTTTCTTGGTCCTATATCTTTCTGGTTTTGCAGCTCAAATTCTGTTGACACTATCAACTTCTCAAAGTAAAGATGTTTGGAAGGTTGCAATTTCTCTAGTTGTAGCTGGAGCATATCCTTCAGTACACTCTATTATCCTGATTTTAGTCAATTCAAAACTGAAATCAGAACTCAGGACATTTTCCCAATATTTTAAGTGTTGTTTTGAAGATGTGACTTTCTAACACACATTAAGCAGCTCCGCAAGCATAAATCTGGAATCAAGACTTCTATGCATTTATTGTCCCACTGTCTTTTCTTCTTAGTCAAGAAGTTCTATCTTTCAGATATTTCTGTGATTAGATCTCTTTAGCACTTCAGAACATTTAGAAATATATATATATATTTGTTTGTTTGTTTTCACATAACTATCAAATCTCCTGTCCTCCTAATATCTTATTTAATAAAGAGTAAGAATAAAAAGAATATATTGAAAGAAAATGATGTACTTAAATGACAAATCTCATTGGGATTTCAGACTCTTAAACATTGCTAGTTTTATGATATTTTTGAATGGAAGAAAATGGGGCTGAAACAGATAAAATTTACACAGCTCACGTTTTCAGCAGAAGCTGAAAGATCTTCACCTGAGAAGCTTAAAACTGGATGAAACACATGTTCTCCACTGTGTGGCATATAAACAGAATATGGATAGGAATAAGAAAAAAAATGCTAAAATATAATATTGAGGAAAATTAAGATATGGGAACGTATAGCTGATTGATTGATGTAATTGAATTATATCCCAAATCAGGTTTATTTGTGTTAGGATTCCAATATGTATAAAGCAACTGAGTGGTTAAATATATCATTAAAATTGGTCCTTCTCTTTAAAATATATTTTATTCTGGATTTTTATTAAAGTGAATTACTAAGGTGGTATTTACAGTGTAAACACATGAAGATATATGGATCTATCTGTGCACTTCAGAAAATTTCCTTCAAATTGAGCTGATCATTCTGATCACAGATCCATCTTTTAACATGATTTGAGAGTATGAGTTGTTTCTCTTTTAATTTTACACATTACGATGTCACTATTTCACATACTGTTGATGAAATATATTCTTCAACAAATCTTGCCATTTTTATCAAAAATGTGATAGGTGATTCTACTTGTAGGTTCTTTCAGCTCTAGTGCTTTTACTCCGTATATCTTTTCTGTAGGAATCTAGATAATACAGAATTATAAATCAGGATGGTGATAGCTCCAACTTCATCCATAAAACTGGTGAGCTGGGTAGTTCATTTACTCTTGGAGATCAGCTTCAGTGTGTGAAAAGTAGGAATAATATCTTTATGAAATGCTTTGAAATCATTGTAAGAAAATTATTACATAGATGGCAAATGTAAACTTTTTAATTGATTTTCTAAAAAGCTTGCTAATGATGAAATATACATTGATATCAATAAGATGTATGAGTGTCTGTATTGTTCAGGATGAAGCAATATGATTATTATCATGCATAAATAGTGGTGTCAAAGAGGTCAATAATGCACAGCAAAGGCTGTGAATGATTGAACTCATTTACACAGTGTTCAAAAGCATAGTGCAGTGTGCCATAAAACTAAGACTGTTGTAACTTTCAGAACCATGTGATTTTTTTTTCTTTTGGTCAGTGTTGTGTCTGCTGCAACGGGAGGGACCCAAAAATCTCTAGAGAATTCACTTGCTCCTGTGGGGTGGCAGATAGGAACCAAAGTTTGTTTCCCATCACAGTCTTGGGAAGGTTTTATGCCCTACCAGCATAGGGCATAACACTTAAGATCAGAAGGGCTGATAGCTCTATTGGCCCATTCTCTAGCTGGCATCATCATGAAAGGAAATATTCCTGAAATAAATTATTAATATTGTTTATTCTTACCTGTTTAGGAAGCTCTGGCAAAATTCATTTTCCTGTTGAGTTCGCTTTGCTCTAGCTGGCCCTTGAACAAAGACCCCATTTCCGGCTGCAGTCTGAGGGCAAAGAGATCAGAGCCAGGTATGAGAATAATGACCTCTGCTCAGCTTTCTCACTGCCACCTCACTTTCAAGAGGAGTAGATGTAAAGCAGGAACAACGATTAATAAAATATTTTTTGGTGGTTCCAGGAGAGAGGAGGACAAAGCTCAACCATTTGATGTCTTTATAGTATATTGATGAAAGTTTTGTCACACACACACAGAGTGGGAGAGATGGATACATAAATTAGAATTTTAGATGAATACATTGGTAAATAAATTATTAGTTTTGTCCCTTCCCTTTCCAACTTTCCCTCAAGCTTCAATTTATTTTCATGTCTTCTATATCTGTGCTAGATACAGTTTCACATTTACTTTCTGATCTTGCCCTGCTCTTTGTATTTCAACCTTTCTCTTCGTAAAATCATTATCTGTATTCACTACAGATCCTGCCTTCTCTTTCTTGTACATTTTAAAAATACTTTCTGATTACTATTTCATAGCAAAATATAATGCACTAAGTAAGAATAGCCTCTCTTTTTACAGCTAGTATACATGCAGAAGCAGAAAAATAAAGCTTATCAATGTCTGTTTTTTTCATAAAATTATTATTATAAGTTTTCTGAGAGTTCTTTTTAAAGCATTTATGTGGTGGTTGAAAAAAAAGCCTCAGTTCACCAATATGTTTCCACTGAAGCTTTGGAAGTATGAATAGGAAAATGCTGTGTGCAGCTATGTAGCATCAAGATCATTGTATGAACGATGAAAAAGATAATTTTTGTGCAGAAATTAATGTACTCTGGATTTCCATCCAGGTAGCATCTTCATGAGTCTGGCAATTTTCACCCTGTCAACATCTGAATTAGAGAAAAAAAAAGAAAAAAACAAAAATCAGCCAGGATCATTCCATAGCCATTCTGGGTTTCAACAGCTGGTGTCCTCTGTCATTTCTTTCTTTTGGACTGGAGTAATTACAAGTTGTACCTGACTAACTCAACAGCTGGGTGTTAGGTATTAACTAGACCATCTAAAATCTAAACAACTCTCTACTATTAACCATGGGGTCTTACTTTTTCTTCCTGATATTTTTGCTGTTCTCCAGGCTGCTAATTACCTCTCTGCAGAGAAACACCAGGCAGCGCTGCCAGCTCCGGGAATCGCAGAACAGATGTTCATATAAATGTGACTAAAGCTCTAATCTCTTTCCTTCTTTTCTCTGCTGCCAGGTTTATAACAGCAATCAGAAAGACATATCACCCTTCTTTCCCTTTGACAGCACCAGGGTTCTGTCATACCACTTTATTCTGATTAATTTTGATTACTCAAAAAAATTAAAAAGGTGTCAATGAAGATTTTGCATTGTACCAAATTTCTTGTGAAATACGACCTCCTACCTTACTGTAAGGCCAAGAGAAAAGTTATCCTTTTGGAAGAATTTTTAACAGGGTTATAACTTGGGATTACTTTTATTTATATTTATATATTACCTTGCCCATCATAATTCTCAGCTTTCATTTCATTATTATCATAAGGACAGTTTCATCAATGTTGTGATGTACTTCTAAAAGATAATCCCTCTGCCTTTCAAAATTCCATATCCTGTCTGTTTCTTGTTTAAGGACATGTGTATGGGAGGTCATTAGAGCTTAGTTAGGTGTATAAATAATGCTACCTGTGTCTCTATCGGCAAAGCTTTCATACAAACATAGGTCTAAAGTGTTACAGTTAAAAAACAGTTGTTTTCCCAATAAACATACAACATTTTTGACTTGAATACGATCCTTGAGTACAAAAAACTTTACCTAATAACGGCATGCTAAGAACACCTGCTAGCTGTATCCTTCATTATTTCAAAACTTTCATTTTTTTCTCCTAATGCTTATGCTTTACTCAAGAGAACTTTACATTGACCAAAGTAGCATAATGAATATAAATTCTGGGGGTAAGGCTTGATGAACATGGGAGCTCATAAAACTTCTGACATTCATAAGCATTTCCAAGGTCAGCAGGTCTTTTCTCACTCTCCAAATGTTCCTTTTGCCCATCCTGACAGAAAGCAGAGCACTTGTACACATGGTGGCAACAGCTGATGAACTCCTGCAAATTATATAGGCTTTTAAGAAAGCAAAACAAACAAAGAGAAATCACAGAGGTCCATACCATCTACTTTGACCAGTATCCTCTCCTTGCACAAAGGTTCTGGGACATTAGTTCTCCCTTCCAAAAAACATTAATGACCAAAATAGATATCACTGAATTACAATACAAGTACTGAATGTTCTATTACAGCTCAAGTTTTCTGCTATCACATAAAACAGCACAGGCACACTACTTAAGAGGAATAAAACTCTGATAAGATCAACCCCGCAGTTGCCTGTTGGAGAGAAGAGGTAAAATTAAAGCATGTCTGATCTTTAGGCACTCAGATCTGTTATTGTGATGAGATTAAGATGGATGAGTAAATTCATTTAATTCATCAATTAAAAATGGATTGGTATGTGATTAGACTAGAATTTCTATCCTCCTCTACTCATTAATTTTCCTCTCAGTGTAGTATTCACATTTCATTTTTTTTTCCTGACTTTATGTCTTTTATTTTTTCCATCTCTTGCAATCTATCCCTTTTCTTTCCAGATAAAATAAAGCATGTGTTCATTCTCCCTTTACCACCACTCTTTCTTACCACCTCTTCTAAAAATCTGGGTTGTTTTTGCTGCTCTTGTTGCTGTTATTGCAACTGAACGCTAATGAAATCAAACTGGGTCATTCCCGTATTTACTTTAGCCCAATAAGAACACATTATAAGGCAGATGATTGTTGCTTTGGGTAGTTTTATACTTCTTTTGTAATAGCATTGCAAACAAAACTTCTCCTCTTTTCTTCTGCAGGTGTTAAAAACAATACAAAACAAAAAAGAAAAAACAAAAACCAAAAAATTTAAAACTAAAGATATCTTCAAATTTCCCTTTCAAATTTTACCTCAGCCAGTTCTGCTTCATAGTCCTTTCCCTGTGTTTCCCCAGGTCACTTGTCTACTCGTACACCACATGCTGATCTACTTTTCTGTTACAGACTTTCATCTATTCTCTTTTTTATTTTTCTCCATAACCTTTAAGCTTGTAATTTTTTTTCCTTCAAGTTTAATCTTCACCTCTATTAGTCCTTCAAATATGCTTGTTTGTTTGTGTGCATACATCCTCTATTTCCCTTTCAAGATAGAGATGGTCATCCAAATATTTTCATT